TATATATATATATTAACTTTGGTCGTTGAACTTTACTTTTAAATAATTGAATCATTTTAAGTTTAAATTAGAATCCAATTGCATGTTTTTTTTGGGTGAGGGTTGTGTTGAAAAACAAAGAACTAAAGTGAAAAAATTAGATCAAATAGATGGCAGATCTGTAATTGGTTTAAAAAGTTATTTTGCACCCTTTATCTTTTTAAGCTATTTGCTAATAAGTCTTTATAATTTTTTAAAAATATATTTTGGTATTAAACTTTTTTTTTTTTTTTTTATGGATGAGAGTGAAAGGATTACTAAATTCTAGTTTAAAAAGAAAAAGTTGGTGTTGAGGAAGATTTAAGCCATCAAAACAATTGATTTTTATGTTAAATAATTTCATATAATAAAAGGAGTTATAATTAGTATTCTTTTACCTTGAAAACACATAATAAAGCAGATTTATGCTAGGAATTTTTTTTTTATTTTTAGTTGATTTTGAATTTTAGACTGGTTTTTAGCTTTTTTGGAGGCTATGGATTGATTTAACAAGTTTTCTAGAATGTTTCCTAAGTATTTTGGGTAAAAAAACATAAATAATCCTATTTTTTCTGGACAAATTAGTGGCCAGATTCTAAAAAAATAACATATCTTTTTCTCTATTAAACTTAAAAAATAATTAAAAGCTCATGCACCAGGGTCTGACCTTGCAGACCCATAAATGAGACTTTTTTTATTGGGACATGCATTAGGCCCAACAATATCTAATCTCATTTTTTATTTTTTTCAAGTGTTTTATATTAATGACTTTTTATGTGTTTTTTCAAATAATTTTTATAATATTTAAATTTTAATTAATACCCATTCCCTATGATTTTTTTAATTATATTAAGCACGTTTAGTTTTTTAAGAGGTTAGTGTGATTCATTTATATTTTTTTATATATTTTATATAGATTAAATATTTTTTTTATAATATTTTTAATATATGCAACATTGCATAATATTTTTTTTATTTTTATTTTGTTCAATAAATTTTATATATGTATCAATCTCAATTACAAAATAATTTTCATAAATAAATTCATTAAACAAACTCACATTGCAATATTAAATATTTTTTTATCTATATTATTATCTTAATTTTTCTAATTATATTTTTATTCATCATTGATTACTTATTTATTTATTTATTTATTTATTTACGTAATGGTTAGTGGTTTATTTAATTGAATAAGTGCATAAGTTTTTTTATTTACATTTTTATTTTTTTATATAAAAACCATGTTGAAAAGTTGAACATGCTTAAGTTTATTTGATCATGTATTTACGTTTTTAATTTAATTCTTATTCTTATGATTTTTGATTCTTTAACTTTTTTATAAAAGTTATTTTCTTTGTAATTTTATTTTTCAATCCAAGTTGATAGCATATTGTTTTCTCTCAATGAATTTTTTAATTTTCTTGAATAACGATTATATTTTTTTTTAATTATATTAAGCATGTTTAGTTTTTTCAGAGGTTAGTGTGATTCATTTATAACTTTTTTATATATTTTATATAGATTAAATATTTTTTGTATAATAGTTTTAATATGTGCAACTTTGCATAATATTTTTTATTTTTATTTTGTTCAATAAATATTATATATGTATCAATTTTTTTTTATAAATTAATTTTTATAAAAAATTCATTCTCATATTACAATATTAAATATATTTATCTATATTAGTATCTTAATTTTTCCAATTATAGTTTTATTTATTGTTGATTACTTTTTTTTTCATTTATTTACATAATGCTTAGTGATTTATTTAATTCGATGTATAAGTTTTTTAATTTATATTTATATTTTTTATATAAAAACCATGTTGAAAAATTCAATATATTCAAGTTTATTTGATCATATATTTACGTTTTTAATTTGATTTTTATTTTTATGAGTTTTAAATTTTTTAACTCTTTTATAAATTTTTTTTAATTCTAGTATTCAATTCAAGTCGATAATTTATTATTTTTTACTCTTCTTATTGATTGATTTTTTTTATATATTTTTTATAATTTTTTAAATATATAATTCAAATAAAATTAATTAATTTAATTAAATTTACTATTGATCAGGAATAGAATGCATTTGCAATACCAAAATATTCTACTGTAAAAATAATACGCACCCGCAGCGGAGCTCTAACACCGAAATGTTATAAAAGGCAAAAAGTATACCGAATACAGGGGAACTTTCCTCGTCGGCCACCGACCTTGCACAGAAATCATCAAGATAACCACAGGTGAGGTTCCAAAGAAGTGCCACATGCTGGCTATCAATTGGGCTTTACTTTCTTCTTCAGACAACAGCTATGAAGTACGTGTAAAAGGATCATAGCTTCTTTATTGAATAGCTATTCGGACGAGGACATTTGTCCCCCCAAAGCCTGTGCATATAGGAGCTGAAAGCGTGTAGAGTTAACAATTAAACCAAGGAAAATCATGGAAGATGGCGTGACAATAGCTGAAAGCTTGTTGCATCTTGAAGAAGAAGAAGATGGTGATAAGAAAGCTAATCTTCGAGAAAGTGGAGAAGATAGGCCAAGTGGGTCATTACTGAACCATGTCTTCTCAAACCTGGTCTCTAGAGGGGAAGCTGATCATGAAGAAAAAGGAGTTAAAGAAGAGAATGGAGAGAAGAGAGGTGGACTACTGGACAATATCATATCCAACTTGGTTTCTCCCTCGAGTAACAAAGAACAACATGAAGTTTCCCAGGCTAGAGATGGCGGAGGAACAACTGAAGATCAAGCACAAAAGAAACAGAAGGTAACAGTAGTTGATGAAGAGAGTGAAAAAGTTAAGGCTGAAGAGGAGGGTGGTGGAGAGAGTGAAAAAGTGAAGGCTGAAGAGGAGGGTGGTGGAGGTGTCATCCATCACATTGTTTCCCACTTTCTTACATCTCTTCCAGGTGCTTATATTAAGAAATTAATGTTGCTTTGCTGCTTATATTAAGAAATGACATTTTCAAGCCTGTGGATGTGTCTCAATATTCTGTGCTTTTTATAAACAGATGATGCTGCTCCAACAACTGACGAAGCCACCATTCTTATTCACTCCATCATCCATGACTAAGGGGAATAAGCTTGTAAAGATTCTGGATCTGTAAATTTGAACGCAGAGGGGACCTGTCACTTTGTATTTCCTAGTGATTTTTCTTTCTTTAGATGCTTTTCTCGCTGTATAACGTGTTTTCTGCTAATTCAATGTATTATATTTAGAATTCCAACGTTCAAAACTACAGAGGCTGTTCGTCGGGTTTTTTTTTTTTTTTTTTGTTGGCGGGAGGAAAGACTGAAGTAACTGAGAGAAGGCGTTGGCAGGAGGAAAGACTGAAGTAACTGAGAGAAGGGGTGTGTGGTTTTGCTTTTTATGAGAAATTATTCTTTCAATTATTTCTTTTGTTTTTATATTATTTTCATATTAATATTAAAAATAAATTTTATAAAAAAATATTATTTTAATATATTTACAGACAAAAAATACTTTACTATATACTATACATTTACAAACATGTTTTCAGAGATAACTGCCCGTAGACATTTCGATAAAATTAAATAATAGAATTTCATGTTAAATCATAGACTCAGGATTAATGTAGAGTTTCTAGAAAAGAAAAATTAAATGATGGAGAAAGACTCTACACTAGTAACTAGTTTATCTCTATAACGTAATACAACTAATCATATATTTATCATATCATCAAAAAGATTCTCATTAATTTTTTTAATTAAAATTGATTTCTCAAAAATAAAATCACTTTCTTTTATAAATAATAAAAATGATTTTTTTTTCTTCTGCATAGTTGGTGGGAGTGACAATTCATCTCCATTGAATAGTGAAGCTTAAAAAACTAAGGCTCGATGATAGCCACCTGTTTAAGTCGAAGGCAGGATGTCTAAAAAAGCAAATTTAAACTCTAAATTCGGAAAGAGTTTATTTATTTTTATGTTTAAAAATATTTTTAAATAAAAACAATATTTTTATTTTTTACTTTGTTTCAAAATATTTTGTGTTTTTAAATTTTTTTTATATGTTGATATCAAAAATAAATTTTAAAAAATAAAAATATTATTATTTTTATATATTTTTAAGTAAAAAGTACTTTTCTAAAATATTAAGGAAACGTTTGATCTCCTTTTCTAGAATGATCAACTTAATAAAAGTCTATGAGCCTATTTGATTTCCTTTTTTAGAATGATCAACTTAACGAAAGTTTATGAGTTTGTTTGGTAGTGTAATTGTAGTTGTTTTTGAAATAATTTTTTGTGTTGAAATGTATATTAATAATTTTTTTTTAAAATTTTTTTTTTAACATCAGTATATCAAAACGATTCAAAATATATAAAACATATTAAATTTTAATAAAAAATTTAAATTTTTTGGAAACATGATTTGCACCACATTCCCAAACAATACCTATAACTTAAAGTTTAACATGCTTTTAAATTTTAATAAATTATAAAAGGTTAAGATGGAGCATGGAGCTTGATTTGAATAAATATTAGAAGTTGAGGGATAAATAATGATTTTAAACCCAAAAATCATTTGCAATTATCATGTAAGAAAAGAAATAAAAAAATTCACTAAAAATGTTTTAAAACAAAAACACCAAATAATAAAGTGTTGGAAAATAGAAATTGACCACCATAATTTGATGTTCCTCTCTTGGAGCTAAAGTTGCTAAATGCAGCTAAAGTTGCTAAATGGATGGTTTCCAAAACCTAAATATTCAATGCGGTAATCACACGCAACAAATTGCGGTAATCACACGCAACAAATTCCAAAAATGAGGACATGAAACTCCTTTTTTGCAGCTCTTGAACTTAAAGCAATTAAGGACATGTGCAACCCCAAAATATCCTATAAAAAAGAATGAAGAATACGAGAGTAACATGTTTCTTGTGTCACACATTGTATGTTTTTTTCTCTTATTTCAAGTATTTGTTTTAGTATATTAGATTTTGAGTTCTCATATTTGAGCTTTTCTTTTTTAAAATAAAAAAATGGTGTCATTTGTAACAAAAAAAAGTAGAAAAATAAATAAATAAGATGACATAGACACTAAATATTTTTATAACCTTTGATGCATGTGAATGCGATGTCATGGTGATCATTCCATCCTTATAAAATTGAAGTCACCACCTAATATTTTAGTCACTAAAAATTCTAACTAGTTCTAAAGATCGGGTACGAGAACTAATTGCTTAAAAGAAATATATTAACACCCTAAATATACCCTATCTAAGGTATACTGTATTGTTTTATTATTTGATATATGTTATGGTTTTATTGTATTTCTAATTGTTGGTTTACCTACGATTTAAGAAAATTCCTTCTCAGTAAGGAAATTCTTATTTTATCAAGTAAAACCTAATCATACTAATGCCAATAAAAGAATCACCTTTTTAATATCGAAAATATATTTTACATATAAATTCATAATCCTCGATACTAAAACATTTTTTTGGATTTTTTTTGAAATATTAGCTTAATTCTTGTGACTTTAATAAACTGGTTATTAAATCTAAAATGCAAGGTAAACTATTTTTTAGATTTTTCTTTATTGTATGAAAATATGATATGAATTTGTTTTAGAGACTTGACCGTATACGTGAAAATAAAAATATTTTTTTTCAATGTTTTGACAAAAATCGGGTATTTTAATATTGGATTTGCATCTTTATGGTATAAAAATACAAACCAATATTAATCAAAATTCAGTAGAAAAATACATAGAAATATCATAAATTTTTGAAAATATTTCTTTTTAATTTTTTTTTGGTCCAAGCCGGATTCTGCCCTCTCAT